AAGGCTCTGAAGGCCTTTTACCATTACAGTTTATCCCAACTCCTGCCTTCCTGTGGACCAGACTCCTAAAATTCAGATTTACTGGTAGTCAGTACTCTACAGGAAAGCGGGAGTGGGTAAATGCCCAGAATAATAACACTGTGCCAGAAGTACATAGTCATGGGGGGGAACCGGCAGATTTGGCATAAAAAGCTGATTGCCTCAGGGATTCCCCTTACTCAAGCATTACATCCATCAGGAACTAGGTTTCCATTGTGTTTTGAAAGCAAAATTGGCATTGGTAAAGATCTGGGGTTGAATGGGCAGTGGGTCATTTACCCAGCAGATAAAGAAAACCTCCCTCTAAGATGAGACTTCATCCTAGCAAAGGAAGAATACCTAAGAATGTCCAGAATAAACTTTGAGTAATACTCCAATAGGAGTATTAAAGGGGGGAATTGTGGGGAAAATCAAATAACTCCAATTGTGTCTAAGGGGGACTGTGCAAGGGTTAAAAAGTTTTCCAGACCTCTCTCCCTGTAACAGAGAGAAATCAAATTAGCTCTAATCAAAGACCCTTACAAATGACTATCTCAAATTCATGGATACTCCTAGTCTGTCACAATTTGTCATGTAAACCCTTATCTTTGTCACAGTTTGCCTTGTAGACTCCTCCACTCAAGTTCTCATGTGGCTTTGTGTACTGTAAAAACTTACTTCTAGCACTCCTGGGGTGAACAGAAGTCTCAGAGTGCTTCTGCTGAGACTTTGATATGTTAAAGAAGAACAATCCACAACTGAACTGTCTAAGCATTCTGTATAAAGACTCCCTGAATCTGTCTGTCAGGGCTGCTGCTTCACTCTTGGAAGTGACAGCCTGCATGCATGCATCATAAAGTTTTCTCTTTTAGGTTTCTTTCCTGCCTCACTGATTTGACCTCCGGCCTCGGACCCTTCTGGGGTCTCTGTACCCCAGGGGAGCGAGATTTCCCCCTCAGTTTCCTACAAGGAGTACTCGCAGTAGGATGTTTAGAAGTTTTATGAGAAGAATCTTAGGTCTTACTCTTAGATGCCCTTGAGGTGTGAAACTTGGAGATGATACAGGAAGCTGATTTATGTACAGTAAAACTCCAATAGTCCAGCATCCAATTGTACGGCACTCCCGTTAGTCTGGCATCAAAATGGCAGGAGCCTAGTGAATGAGCTTTGGCAAAAAATGAGTCACAAGGTAGCAGCAGCAGCTGAATCCAGTGAAACCGGTTGGGACTGAGTCAATCTGTCACTAGCATTGTGTGATGACGGACAGTGCTTGTGCTACAATAAAAAGGGTTAAAAGCACTTTATATACAATATATACTCTCTCTCTCTCTCTATACATATATATATAAAACCATCTTATAGTACCTCCTGATAGTCCGGCATATCCGATAATCCTGCACCACCTAGGTCCCAAAGGTTCCGGATTATCGGAAGTCCACTGTATATGGCTGTATGGTAGAGGTGGGGAAGTATCTCTCAGTCTGAATCATAGGTCAAGTGTGGTGAGCTCTACATCATGAGTTGAAATTTGATCTCCCTATTTTTCTGGCTCTAGAATTTAATGCCAAACAGAAGTTGCACTTTTGGAAAATATGAGATTCTGCAAGGCAACAGAAGCACTGGGTGTGTCTGTCTCTCACTGGGATTGCCTCCTGGCATGAAGATAACGTTTGAAACTAGGAGAACCAGGCACACCCTCCCTGTAAACTCCCATGGGGAAAAAAAAACTATTTATAAAAAGTTGGGGAGGAGGGTTTTTTAAAATGCCACTGCTATAACTATTACTAAGTACCAGCTACTATTAAGAACATGTATAATTAACTACTAAAAGGACACGATTGAGGTAAAATTCTATGTGAAAAACTGCTAAGGCCCTGTCTCAGGATGAAGCAGGAACTAAAGGCAGTTTTCCCATACAAGTGCTATGTAGCAACAGCACACGGCACAAGATTAAGTAACGCAGGTGGGATCAAACAGATACTGCTATAAGAAATCCAAATGAAATGTGGGAGGGAGGAAAGTGCCCCTGGAATGAAGCACTGACAATGTTGAAGAAGAACGTTGAAGAAGAACGTTCAATTACCTTGATTTTTTGTTCCCATAATTTCTCATTGTTCCTGATTGAGATATTCTCAATGGTATTGAATAGTTTTTCTTGGACAAAATGGATTAATCATCAAACCCATTGTAAAGCTGTATATTAGTCAAATGCTTGGTATACAATATCTACTAGTTACAGAAAGTCTTCTCTGGTCTTACATGTTGGCAATACTTGTATAGCTGGCTGTGCCAATAAAGTATTTTTAAACATTACTTTAACAATGAAGCCCAAGCTCATTCCTGGAATTCTTTGAGGCCACTGAATAATGCACTTCTGTTTCCATATAACAACTAACTTACTTCCTGTATATCCCTTTTCAAAGGGTGAGACTCTTATTACGGAAAAACTTAAAAAACAACATCTGGTCCTGCAGCAACTTAGAGACTAACAAAAAATGTAGGTAATATCATGAGTGTTCCTGGGCACAATCCACTTCAGATTGGCAGCATTAACCCTTGCAAACAACGAGTACTGTGGCATCTTAAAGAGGAACAGATTTACATGGACAGCTGCATCTGATGAAGTGGTTTTTGCCCAGGAAAGCTTATGCCCAAACAAATCTGTTCCTCTTTACGGTGCCACAGGATTCCTCGTTGCTTTTCTGGATACAGACCACCCTGGCTACCCTCTGACACTGACACTTCTGTCGCTACAACTCGCTCTCTCCAGCGTTCACGGGGCCGCCAGGTGACGGGGGCAGGGCCCCCACGCGGCGGGTGCGTGGGAAGGGACACTCCAGGGGCCTGGCCCAGGCTGCACACAGTGAGGGGAGGGGGAGGCGGGCGCGTTACCAGCGCGGGAAGGCAGGAGCGGGGCAGGC